GCCCCCGGCCCGCAGCCGCGCTGGCGGGGGGAGCCCCGGCTGCCCCCCCAGGCACCGCCTGGAGCAGCGGCTGCGCCTCCCCCACCCTGCTCCACTAACCCCCGTGCCCCGCTCAGCCAGCCAACTGGGGCTGCTTTCTTGCTGGCTTTGTTCCCGGGGAATATTGTCTCCCTGCTGCAATATTCCCTCTGCCTCGCAGAGCCGTGGCCGTGAGGAAGAGTCAGTGGGTTTTAAAAAAACAAAGCAGAAAAACCCAACAAAACAAATCCCGTTGCTCCTTCTCGACTAATAAGTGCCTCTGTCCATTCATCCCTGGGCTCTGCCGAGCTCTGACAAATGCTGGCAGGGTTTGGGCAGCTGCTGGGGCTGCAGCCGGGCTGGGGAAGGGGCTGGGGAGCCCCCAGCCCACCTGTTCCCACACACAGGCACCCCTCTGTCTTCCAGGACGGTTTAGTCACTACAGCGTTGGATCTCTGTGCTCAAATTACAGAGTTTGCTGCTGCCTGCATGCAGTTTGGGAGCTCTGGTTAATCTGATGGCCTCTTAATCTTTCTTTTTGTCTTTTCTGTTGCTGTTTGTCATCCCACTGAGTTTTCTTAAGGAGTAAATTATTCCCAGGAGAAGCCAGTCCCACTTCTTTGTTGTTAATGGAGCAGTGAGTGCATGAAGACCCCGGTGAGAGCTTGCAGGAGGGTCCCATGCCCAATCCCACCATCCCTCCTGGGTTTTGTACTGGAAGTGCTGATGCCATGCTTTTCCAGGGGCTGTTGGAGTTCACTGGGCACATTTGCCAGTTGGTGTGTCAAGTCAGGACATCTTAAGAGCCTTTGGTGACATCCTTCTCATGGCAGGGATCAGAGCAGGGAGTGAATGGTGCTCTTCTTGCACCCCAGCTTGCCTTGGGTCCTCTGTGCTCCTCTCCAGCTGCTTGGCCTCTCTGAAATCTTTCTGCTTTTCCTGGTCACAGGTGGCTGGGCTGTGTCTGGGGTCCCTGTGCTGCACGAGTCACCTTCCATGCTACACTCCCTGCCCCCAGGGCAAGGACAGGGCTTGTCCCCCTCTAATGCTGATAAAGGGACAGAGTTGGGGATTATGCCTGAAACTGGTGGCAGAGCGAGGGTTTGGGAGACCCTTCCCTTCCTGGGCTGCGAGGTGAGGGTCTTCACAGGCATCATTTCCTGAGGATCACTGGTATTTGTGTATCCTGCCTCAGTTTCCCCACCCTTTCAAAGGGAACAGGCACTGTCTGTCCTGCCGGGGGGGTCTCGGAGGCAGAGGTGGGAGGATGCCCTCAAGACTAAGCATCTTTAGCCCCCAGCTTGTGCTGGGTGTCTCGGAGCCCTGCTGCTCCAGGCTGCCACTAATCTGTTTTGGGGCCTTAGAAAGCAACAAAGGCTTATCTGAGCTGCTTGCTGAAAATAGAAATGAGTGTCAGGAGGACGTCTGGGTGCGAGGCCCTGCCGGCAGCCAGCTGGTGGAAACCTTCTTCGGGCTCTGCCGGGTGCATGTCAAAGGCTGCTTTTGTTTCCCCTCCAGCCCACACACACCACATTCCTCCTCATGTCGCCAGATATTCAGGGAGGCTCCCGGTGGTTAATCTCCGGGAGAACCTGGGGGGGTTGGAGCCTGAACTGTAAATCCCGTGCAGAGCACTGGGAGCTGCCTCCCAGCCTCCCTGCCAGCTCCCTGTATTGACTGGTTTCAGGCAGACGAGTGGGAGTTGGAGGAGCTAGAGGGCTGGACTAGCCCTTGCTGGGGGAAAGAAGGCACTGAGCCAAAGCTTGCTGAATTCAAAGGCTTTTGGTGCCGACTGGAGAGCTCAGGCTGGGCAGGGTGCTGGGAAGGGATCAATAGGCTGCAGGCAGCCACGGGGCATGTTGGCAGGAGCTGCCTCTCCTGTCTGCTCCCATTCCCTGCAGCCAGCTGGGTTTCCTCAGGGCAGAAAGGAAGAGCATTTGGTTACCCTCCTGCTCCCTCCTCTCTTCCTGCCCCCAGGCCAGGATTTCTCCTCCGAGGGACCCGGAGCAGGTGCTGGCCCTCAGCCTCTGGAGCAGCAAGTGCAAGAGTTGAGCAAGACGGGGAGGGGCTGCCGGGCTGCAGCCGGGGCAGCTGCCCCAGCAGCTCCCATGACTGCTCCAGGCAGGGATGGGGCTTCCCTGCTCCACTGACCTTGGATCGTCCCTTGCTGCTGCTCTGTGCCTTCTGCCTGTGGGTCACCTCTGTGTCACCTTGTCCTGCTGTCTGGGAGCAGGGCAGGAGGGCAGGCAGTGGCTGGAGGCCACACTGCAGCTGGAGACTTGGCAGCTTCTCAGAGGGCATGAAGGGGAAATTTGTTTCTGGAAGTCTGGCCCTCTGGCTGGGGTGGTTTCTGAGTGATGGTGGAGGAAAAGGAGTGCAGATGTTTGCAGTCTTCTCCCATCAGCTGGGACACTGCTCCAAACAGAGGTGCTGAGAGCTGAACACATCCACCTGGTGACCACGGGTACTGCCTGGCACGGAGGGCGCTGGGTCCCTGGCACAGCGGGGAGCTGGGCTGGACACAAAGGCCTTATGTGCCCCACTGTGACCACGTGCCTGCTGTCAGTACCCTGGGGTGTGGGTCCCTGCTTGTCTGCAGCTCTGCAGAGCCTCACAGCACCCACAGAGCAGTCCCGGGCACTGGGACTCAGTTCATCTCCCCTGGGCAGGACAAGCACCAGCAAGAGGTGGTTTAGCCCTGGCAGGAGCACGTGTTGGCAAGATTCCGGCTGCCTTGCCTGAACAGGGCACGTGCCCCTGCCTGCCCCCATCACTGCTCCCCGCCCCTCACAGGCTCCTCGGAGGTGGGGGCAGTGATGGGGACAGGCAGGGGCTGTGCATGGGGGGAGGAGGAGGGGTTAGTGGGGGGTTTCATGGGACACTGAGGTGAGCAACAGGCTCTTCTCTTCCCCAGGTGTACAAGGGCTTGGACATCATCACGAACAAGGTTTCTCCCCAGGAGCAGCGTCTGTGCAGGCACCACATGATCAGCTTTGTGGACCCCCTGGTCTCTAACTACACAGTTGTGGATTTCAGGGACAAAGCTGTGCCTCTTATATCCTTTCATGCTGAGCAGGTATGGACTGACCTTCTCCAGCACCAGGCCTGCAAGAGGGATCAGTGTTTGTGGCAGCCTTGGGCTCTCAGATTGTGACTAACTCCAGTTTTCAGCAGATACAGTTGGTGAAGGGGGCTTGGAGCTTCTTTTTAACCCAGGTTATGCTCAGAGCAGCCCATCCTCAGGGCAGGGCTCTGCTGCATGCCCAGTGCTGGCCTGGGGATGGCCCTCCCAGGATGTCCCTGGGTGTTGGTGGCAGCTGCCACAGGTAGCAGAGGATAGTGAGGGACGAGGGACATCTATAACCCTGTCCTGCAGCCTCACCAGCTCCGTGGGGCTGGGAGAGTGGGGTCTGGACCCCAGGATACTGCTTCCCACAGCCCTCCCTCCCTGCCAGGCGTCTCTGCTTACGCTCCCTGACTGTGGCACATTGAAGATATCTTTTCCCGAGACAAGATCCCGATTATTGTGGGAGGAACCAACTACTACATCGAGTCCCTGCTCTGGAAGGTCCTTATCAACACAAAGGTACTGTGGGGGGGCTGCCGTGTCCCTTGGGAAAGGGTGAGCTCCATGTTCAGGGTGGGCTTCCTGTGACAGGGCATGGTGCTTCCCCTGCTAGAGTGGGGCAAGGAGAACTAAAAGCCCCTCATTCACCCCGTGGGGCTGGGGGATCTTCTTGCTTCCACACGGATGAGTGGCTCGACTCAGAGCTGCCTTGTGCCCCACAGGAGAAGGCCAGCAAGGCCCCCGGGCTGGTCACTGACAGGAAGGTGGAGCTGGAGCAGCTGGATGGTGCTGAGCTGCATCGCCTGCTGAGCCAGGTGGACCCGGAGATGGCGGCCAAGCTGCACCCCCACGACAAGCGCAAACTGGCCAGGTGGGCTGGGGCAGGGGCTGCCAGGGCCCTGCTCCCCTTCCCGGGGGAACTGCCTGCCTGGCAAGGCAGCAAAGCTGGGCTCTCCCATCCCAGGCGGGTGCTCCTGACCTCTGAGCGGGGTGTTCAGGGAACACTGAGGGACCCCTCTGGGATCAGACACCTCTGGCCACGCAGTCCTCAGCTGGAGCTGCCTTTGGGGGTCCAGGAGCAGCGCGGGGGGGCTGGTCCCTCTGCCGTGCCCCAGCAGCAGGGTTGATCTGGAGCTATTTAAAGAGCAAGTTGCCCTGCTGGCTGAGTAACATAGCTGAGCTCTGTGGGAACAGCCGGGCAGCAAGACCAGGCTTGCTGCTCTGAGGGGCCCAACCCAGCCCAGCCCTGGCCCGGGGGGAGCAGAACCCGCCCACCCCGTTCGCACGGTGCAGGAGGGTTGGGCACCCAGCGCTGCTGCCCCCGCCTCCTTGGCTGGGCAGGGCCGAGCTCTGGGGATGCTTCGCAGCAGCAGCAACGCTGGGTCCTTCCCTGCAGCCCTGCCTGGCTGGGAAGGGCAGGGCTGGAGCCAGAACCTTGTTCCCTGCAGGGCTTGTCCCGGGAGTGGGTGGCTGGGCTCAGGGCTCCTTGGGTGCCATCGCTGTGCTCTGCACTGTCTGGAACCCCCCCGGACCTGGGTGTGCTCGGGATGCCGGGCACGGGAGGGGGCAGAAACCTGCCCTGCTCCCACATGAGAGGGTTGGATCCCAGCGAGTGTCTGCGGTTCCCTTTGCTGGAGCCCCCAGGGCTGCTTGGGAAATGGAACAGCTCATCCTCGCCCAGCCTCTGAGCTCTGTCTGTCTCTGCTGGCAGGAGCCTCCAAGTGTTTGAAGAGACAGGGATCCCCCACAGTGAAATCTTGCACCAGCAGCAGCAGGAGGAAGGTGGGGGACCCTTAGGGGGGCCCCTGAAGTACCCACATTCCTGCATCCTTTGGCTCCACGCAGACCAGGCAGGTGAGAAGCAGACTTTGCACGGGTCCTGCCTGGCTGAGCAGGGTGACAGGGGTGAGGGCTGAGCCCCCTGCTCCTGCCCCAGCCCCCTCCCTGACCGAAGCAGCAATTCTTTGGGCACCAGTGGGTGTGTCAGAGAACTCCCCCCTAACCTGCTGGGTCTGCCTTCCTCAGGTGGGTCTGCAGGCTGGTGGTGCCCAGGAAAGTCCCAGCACTTTGTCCAGTGGTGACCCTCCTGAGGGCACAGCCCCAGGTGGCTGAGCCTGTCCTGCTCTCCTCCTCCCAGCTCTGGACCAGCGGCTGGAGCAGCGGGTGGATGCCATGCTGGCTGCAGGGCTGCTGGACGAGCTGCGCGACTTCCACCGCCGCTACAACCAGGAGAGGGTGGCCAGGAACGGGTGGGTGAGGGACCAGCTCCCTTTCTGCTCCCTGTCCCACCTGCCAGACCCATACAGGGCCTGGACTCGCTCTCCCTGCAGCAGCTGTTGATGTTTCTCTGCTCCCAACCCTCTCCTGCAGATGGGATGGGTGCTTGGCTCTGGGGGGCACCATCAGTGGAGAAGTCTGAACCAGCCAGATCCTCCAGAACCCTTTGACCAGGGTTGGTCACACAGCAGAGTTTCTGTGGGTCTTAGTGTTGAATTAATTTTGCCTGGGTTGAGCCTGCCAAGTGGAGACATCTTCCCTCAGTGAAAATTAAAAGGCACCATTCCTGTCCCCCACTCCATGGCTTGTGTCACCTGTGGGGTCCTACAGGGTGAGACACAGAGATCTGAGCAGTCATGGGAGGGCTGAGGTCTCCCACTGTTCTGAAGGAGGTTGCTTTGACCCCTGTCTTGTTCTCCAGGCAGGATTACCAGCATGGCATCTTCCAGTCCATTGGCTTCAAAGAGTTCCACGAGTACCTTGTCAGTGAGGGGAAGTGCTCACCTGAGACCAGTGCTGTGCTGCTGGAAAAAGGTGAGAGGAGCCCCCTGTGTGTCCCATGTCCCTCTGCCCCACACAGTCCCAGGTGACACTGTGTGATGGGTCTAAACCCAGCTCAGACCTTGGGACAGGTCTTGTTGGGGTCGAGCTGCACCTTTCTCTCTGCATTTTCCATTTCTTCCAGCCCAGGGGGGGCAAAGACTCCTTTCCCAAGTGCTTGGAGAGCATCTCTGAGCTCATCCAGAGCAATTCCTCCTCCAGGCCTCCTTGCAAGATGTACTGGACATACTGTGACTCAGCATCTGGTCCCCTGGTGACCTGGGTGGTGGGATCACAGCTGGAGTGTGAATGCTGTGGAGAACAGGGCTAGAAAGAAGGACTTCAGCAGAACTCAGCATCTGCTTCAGCAGCAGGGTGGTGGGGAGGGATGTGGGGATCTGGCAGATGACACCAGGAATCAGTAGTAGTGATGCCCTCTTGGATGGCACGTGTCACCCTGGGGTGTCTGTCACTCCAGGAGAGCTGCTCTGCCCCTCAGCACAGCTCTGTGTCGAGGAGGGCTCAGTGCCAAGTGGAGGCTGAGGAAATCACAGAAATGATAAAAGGCTTGAAAACAAGTCTGGTGCAGGAGGGTCTTGTTGTGTCTGCTCAGGAGATGATTACAGGGGGATGAGACTGGCAGGAAATATTGAAGGGTTCCCCAGTGGGAAACTGTCCTCTGGGCCTGCTGGGCTCCATCTGCCCAGAGAGATACTCGGGTATTCTGAGAGCAGTGCAGCCCCTGACCAGATTGTCCTACCTGCTAAAATAAAAATCAAGCTTTTCCTTTTCATTCCCTCTGTTTCAAAGGCATCCAGGCCCTGAAGCAGGTGACCAAGAGATACGCCCGGAAGCAGAACAAGTGGGTCCGAAACCGCTTCCTGAGACGTGAGTCCTGGGTCCTGCCCTGTCTCACCATCCCTGCTCTCACCCCTCCTGGGCACCCCCCTGCTCCCAGCCTGGGAGAGGAGTGTGGTGACTCTGCCTGTGCTGTGGGGATGTGAATCTGGCAGAGGTCAGACCATCCTGCCTGGATTCTTCTGCTGTCCCAGGGCTGCCCCCGGCCAGATCCCTCCAGCATCCACCCTCCAGGCTCTGCCCTCAGTACTTCCCACATGTTTGGGTTGCAGGGCAGCCTCTTGGCCCTCCTGAGACAGCCCACCAGGCATTGTCCATGTTTATCTTGCCCACAGCCCCTCTTGCCCAGACACTCAGGAGGCTCCTTCTCACTGCTCCCTCTGTACCCCCTGGCTGCCTGTCAAGGGGAGATCTTCCCCTCCCAGCACAAGTGCCATCAGGATGCCTGATATCCCAGCAGAACAAAGCCAGTGAGGGCTCAGCCCCATGGTGGGCAGCAGCAGATGATGAAGATACAGCCTATCCTGCTCCTGAGGGGCTCGGGGAGGGGGTGCCCAGCACAGTCCCTCTCCCCACACACCCACACATGCTCCCAGTGCAGGGTGAAGAGCCCAGTTGATGAGGAACAGGAGCCCAGGGGCTTCTCTTAGCCTGGGCTGTGCTCGCCATGGTGGCAAGGAGCCAGCAGGACTTCCCCATCCCAGCCCCAGCCTTGGAGCAGGGCCAGCAGCAGCAGCTGGGAGCCGGGCACTTGTTGAAAGGTGCTTGGTAGGGGCAAAACAACAATAAAATTAAGAAAAAGAAAAAAAAAAGGAAAAAAAAAAAAGAAGAAAAAAGGCAGGGAGCTGTGCGAGTCAAAAGACAGGCTTTGAAGAGCTTTCCTGCAGCCATGTGCTTGGTGGCTGTGGCTCACCTTTCTGGTGACAGGTGTCCTTCAGCTCAGCCCTGTCGGGGGCTTGTTTGTGGTTGCAGCAATAAAAGCAGCACCTGCTGGATCCTGGCACAGCACCCACAGCCCTGGGGGGCTTTGAGCAGGAGGAGTGGGCACAGGGATTGCAGCTCCCTCACCCTGGAGTGCCCCATGTCCTCACCCCAGGCTGGGGGAGGAGGCCCAAGGGGTGGGTTTGAAGCTGTCCTTGTCACCTTGAGGTGTTAATGAAGCCTCTCCCATCTTGGTTGGCTCCTGGTAATGCTGGGCCCTGCTCCTGCAGGTTCCTCATCCACACTCCCTGCCTCCACCTCTGAAAGAATAGTCAGGCCCTGGAACAGGCTGCCCAGGGAGGTGGTGGAGCCACCATCCTTGGAGGTGTTAAAAAACCATGGAGATGTGGCACTTCAGGACATGCTCTAGTGGTCATGGTGGGATATCCTGGGTTGGTGGTTGGACTTGGTAATCTCAGAGGTCTTTTCCAACTGGGAGAATTCTGTGATTCCTTGTAAGCCTTGTGTGGTGGCTTTGTGCCTGGATCTGGCTTTTGCTCTTCTCTGGCCTCCTGTGGACCATGGCCATGATGAAGTGTTAGCTGTGATGAGGGGCTGTTGGTGTGCTCAGGTTTCATGATCCTGTCCCCAAGGCAGACAGCCATGGAGACCTCACATGTTCTTGCTGTTTGTGAGCACATGGGCCTCCAACCTGAGGTCTTGGGTAGTTCTGGTTCTGGAAAAGCTGGTGCTGTTTATTTCTCAATGCTGAAGGACAGATAGGAAAGAGCAGATCCCAAACCCTGGTCACAGCATAGCCCCGTGGGTGCTAGGACATGTTCCTGGGGAAGTTCTGATGGTCACCTGCCCTGCTGTGTGTCTCTAGGTCCTGGGCCCAATGTGCCCCCAGTGTATGGCTTGGAGGTGTCTGATCTCTTGCGGTGGGAGGAGGATGTGCTGAAACCTGCTCTGGAGATTGTGGAGAGCTTCATCCAGGTACTGGAGTTCACACCTGAGCTGTGGCTGAGAAGCCAACTTCTTGGTAGTCTCCAGGCCCCATAACTTGTCACTTAGTCTGTCCCATGAGCAGTGTCTGCTCACATGTCCAGCCTTGGGCTTCCCTGAGGGTGGCAGAGGGTTGTTGTCTAAGCTGAAAAATTCTCTTAATGCCCAGTATTCCACTTGTCTTCCATGGTAGAACTGCAGCATCTGCCCTGCTAACCTTAGTGCCCATCCCCAACTGTACCAAAGTGAGCACAGCCAAGCAACTTGTCAGAGCAGAAACCAATCTGAGCTATGATTTCATCTTCAGGGACGTGAGCCCCCAGCAGAGCCTGTGAGGATGGAGCACGACGGGAAGGAGAACAAGCGGAGCCATCGTGTGTGTGAGCTGTGTGACAGAGTCATCATTGGGGACAGGGAGTGGGCAGGTAGGACCTGGCAAGGGGAACAGGAGAGGACCTGGGAGGGGACACAGTGGGTGGAGTTAGGTGGAGGGATGGAGCAGGGCAGTGCAGGGATGGAGCAGGGCAGTTTTCCGGAGCAGAGCAGCTTCCTTGGCTGTCTCTGCCTGGCCAGATGACCCTCAGCACATGATCTTGGGCTTCCAAGGGTTGTTTACAGCCCATGTATGAAAGCAGCCATTTGCAGGCCCAGAGGGGGTGCAGGAGCTGTGCCACAGCAGCCATCTGTCAGGCTTCCCCCCCTTCCTCTCACCCAGCACACACTGCTGCTCTCTGCCCTCACACCAGATGTGGGGATCCATGTGTGGCATCCAGCCTCAGAGCTGGCTTGGTCTCTTTCTGCACTTCAGATACTTAGTCAAAAAGCACAGAACAGATTAGTTCCTTCTAAAGTTTTCTTCTGTAAAAGTCCCTTAATGTTTTTAATAGCTCAGTTTTGCTCCAGTATCTCCTATTTGTGTGTGGTGGTTTGTTGTTTTGTTGTTTGTTTTTAAAAAAGTATATATTCCTAGTTGTGGTAATAGAAAGATTTTCTCTTTTCAATAGACTTACTTTAAAAGAGCTCAGTTGGAATCAGATTAGCTCAGGGAATTTCTCTGTGCTGTGAGGGTCATGCTGAGAAGCAGAAACAAAAAGTAGTGGAGAAACTGGCTGCAGAAGTGGAACTGGTAAATCTCCCCATACTGCCCAAATGCAGTGTGTGCAGACACAATGCAAGGAGAAATTTCCCAGGTCGTTGGATTTGACCAACTTGCTTATTCCTATTGCTCTGGGAAGCTGCTGCAAGCAAAGATGGAAGTTGGCTCAGAATGGGAAGCTCATTGTGGGGAGATCAGTTTGTAAGTGTAATTATCATTTTAGCTGAGCTCAGCTGTCTCAGCCTGGAGGTGTTTTGCAGGAGCTCTGTCCACCCCAGAGCTAGAGGACTCTGAAAGTTCTCAGGGTCTGGGCCACCCTTCCAGGTCCAGCAGGTTCCAGGAGGAACTCCTCAAGATCCACCCCCAAACACAACATGTCCTCTAGGGATACCATCCTAATTTCTGAGAGGTGATGGCAATGCTGCCCTCGGCCAAGCCCAGCTGCTGTTCTCTGCATCCAACTGAATTTGGCTCAAACCCCCAGGATGGTGGGAGAAAAATGGGCCAAAACCTGGGTAACTGCAAAATGTAAAAGCTCAAAGGGAAGAGAAACCAGTCGTGGGAGCTGAGTTGATCTACAATCTGGTCTGGTTTTTTAAGTCAAGTTACTGAGAGTTCTGGGAACTGCTTCCCAGTAGCTCACTGGCTCTGGAAGATTTTACAATTTTATCTAATTTGTATGGACTTAAAAGAGCACACCTCACCAGACAGCAGCAGAAATCAGTGCCTCTTCCAGCCCCTCTGTCCTTTGGTGTTGCCTGTGACAAATTGGAAGAGGTGAGACTTGATTTGAAGCTGAGGGTGACCCCACGGCGCTGTGATAAAGCACCAGCTTTGCATGTACTTTCATCCTTTGGCAGAAAAGGATGACTGGAAAACACCTGAGGACCTTGATTCAGTGAGCACATCCCCTTGTTTAATTAAGGCCCTGCTTGAAGAGTTGGCTGCTTTAATTGCTGCTCTGATCTCTTTGAAATGGCAAACCCACCCTGCTAAGATGGTACATTGGTCTGGTTAGACAAAGTGCCTACTACTTAGGTAATAGCACTGACAGAGGAGGTTTCACTGTCTTAACCCTGTGATTTCAAACAGAAATGCAGCTCCTGCTGCCCCCTGGGTCAGTACAAGTTGCATCCTTGGGATTATTCCTCTGTTCCCATCCAGCTCCTGCAGCTGAGGGCCTTGCCCTGGAGTTATGCAAAAATTGGTTGATGCTCTAGGCTCCATCCCTGTCTGCTCTGTCAATGAACAGGATATCCCCAGGGCTGTGGTGCAGGCATCTGGGCTTACAAATCATCCTGGCAGTGCTCCAGGGGCTGGTGGGGTTGCACAACCTCACCTGCATCCTTCCATGTGCCACCTCTTTGGGAACACTTTCCTTTCTCCCATCCTCCCAGTGTCCTCAGACTTGCTGGGACACTTGAGTCCTGAGAACCTGGAGTCTACTGCATAGACAGAGACAGGTCTTTTCCCTTTCCCAGCCCTTCAGTTGTCCCCCTCTAAGCCCTTATAGTTTGGTTTAGAAGTGTCCTGAGAAATGGCTGGGGCAGGGCTTGGGAATTCACTTTCCTGCAGAAGGAGTCGTGTGGGAAGCTGGGAAGGCTCTGCACCACACGGGGCCATCATCTCAGCTGTTTCCATCTCCAGGTTCCCCAGAATTAAATGCTCTGTTTGCCTCTTTCTCCAGCTCACACACGATCCAAATCCCACCTGCACCATCTGAAGAAGAGAAGGAAGCTGGAGGCCACCAGCCGAGCTGCAGAGGGGGGCAGTGGGGCCACAGAGACGTCGGACAGCAGCTTGCCTTTGCCTTAGGCCTGCAGGCCAGCTGGTGACACTGGGAGCAGCCACTGCCACCTGCACAGTGAGGACCCAGCTGAGTCCTGGGTGGCCTTGAACCCAAGGAGCTGGATCATTGTTTTTGGGATGAGGCAGGTGTGTGAGGGCCAAAGGCTTTTCGGCTGTGTCAGAGCCTCTTCATGTGTGCTCATGGCACCGGGTTCCCAAGCTTCCCCAGCCCTGCCTGGAAAGGGCTGGGCCCCAGGGCAAGGCTCCTGGGAGCATCCACCAAGTGTTCATTCCTGCCAGAGACACAGCATTATGCTTGGAATAGTTGAGCTGATCCTGCTGGCATGTGAACATGTTGTTCTCAGAGACCCTGTGCTCCTCCAGCTTGGCCAGGATTGCAGCTCCAAAGCTGGGGGAGCTCTTACTGCCTTTATTCTGGAGAGGATATTTTTTTTCTTTTATATGGAAATAAAAGTTGCAAGATTATTGTGGGTTCCCCTTCCTATTAACAAGCACAGTTTGCTTGCTCTCTGTTTCATCTGACCCATGTTCCCTCCTCTGGATACAGGGCAGAAAGTCCAGGCCTGGTTCCTTCTTCCAGTCACTTTTTCTGCAGCTTGTGAGGGAGCTGAGCAGATGTTCTCAGATCCCTGGCACATAGCAGGTGCAGAAGGAGCTGGCACCTGTTGAACAGGAACTTGGAAATGATCTCATCAAGTCTGCAGCAGATGAGCCTGTCCTAGTTAAAGCTGAATTCCCGGGGGTTTACACTGTGGTTTGGCAGTGGGAACCAGCCTTGCATTTGACTCCAAATTCCCTGGGCCGTGGCTGCTTGGGCACTGCTGGGTGAAACCAGGAGGGCCTTTTCCAGGGAATTTTGGGATTCTCCTGGCAGATGCAGTCAAGATGGTTCCCCCTGGGACGGTTTTGGGGAGGTAGAGCACAGGTTTTTCCTTCAGCTGCTGGTGAGGAGCCATCTCGGGGGCTCAGCCTGCGAGGGGCAGGGCTGCATGGGTGGATCTGCCATCACAGGCTCTGCTGGGGATTAGATTAAACCTCCAGTTTGTCTTCCTCAGCATTGAATTACTTCATAATGCTCCGTGGAGTGGCTGCCCTGGGCTGTTTGATAGGGGTGGGGGGGCTAGCTTGGGAGCTTTTCCTGAAGGGAACATGCAGGGAAGAGCTGGGAATTTGGGCTGGCCTTTCTCTGCCAGCCTTGGGCAGAGCTGAGCTCTGGGCACTGTGTGTGTGGCTGGGCCTGTGCAGCACCAGCTGAACCTGCTCCAGCCCAGCCTTGTTTGCCATCCACCCTGACTCCAGCCCAGCAGGGTGGCTGGAGCACGTGGCCAAGGGGTCATGGTGCTGCATCCATGTTCTCCCAGCCTGGATGGATGAGATGCCCCATTCTGAAGCCCTGTTGGCTGCTGATGTGCTGAGCGTGCTCTTCTGATAGACACTGTGGAGATGTTGAGTCAGCTCCTCAGGCCAGGCTGGGATCATCTGTGAATGAGAGGTAGGATTATCTGCTCTGTCTCCTGAGTGCAGTCAGATGACCATACTGTTAGAAATGGATTTAATATCCTTAATTGGTTTAATATGAACTTTGTTATCCCCACAGAGAAATGTTCCTCCTCTACCACAATAGCGGCTGCTCTGCCTGTTCTCCCCAGGAGAACCTGCTCATAACAGGTGCTGCAGGGTCTCCCAGGCCTTCCCCCTGCTCCCTACCATCTACTGCAGTGCCTTGTTTGGGGGGTAGCAGCTCCCAGGTGTTCCAGGAGAACAGGGATTTGTTGTACTTGCTTGTTCATGCTGTGGTACAGAAAGGTGGAAGCACAGCCTGGCCCTGCCAGCAGCAAGAAGCAGGTGAGTTTGCGTTCTGAGAGGGGAGGACTTGATGAGGGGACAGGTTTTTATTCACAGAGCCAAGGCCAGTATCCCTGCCATGCCATGCTCTCCAAGGAAGAAGCTGGTGTCTGTTGTGTCTCTGCTGTTTGAAGGACTCAAGACTGGGACAGGGATCGAGCTCCTGGCAAGGGCAGCACCAGTCCTGGCACTGGCACAGCTTGTTCAGCTCCTGCTCCTCTTGCTCTGGGCCCTTCCTGCTCCCTGGTCCCCTGCAGAAGGGACAAACAATGGGAAATCGCTCTCCAGTCCCGGCCAGAACTCGCTGAGAAAGTTGTTGTGGTCTCAGGTTTCAGGCTGCTCAGTGCTGAGAGGTTTGGGGATGGGGAAGGGCCCTTCACTCCATCTGCCCTCCACTAATCCCCAGACAAACGCAGCTCTTCCATCTGTGCAGCTGGAGCCGCCGAGCCCATCACACCAGCCACTTAATCTAAATGGCTTTGGCCAAAGATAAGGTCATTAATTACACTGGGATTAGAAAACAGTCCAGGCCTGGCGTGGCTTGGCTCGCCATCAGTTAAAGTCCTTGGCACCCTGGAGAGCTGGAAGAGACCTGATGCTGGTGGGGCATTGTCCCCGTGGCACTGCCTGCCCTTGAGGAGCCCCCTCGCTTGGGCACTGGTGTTTCAGTACACTGGGGTCCTGCCCCTGTCACTGGTGGGGATGGGTCCCAGGTGGAGCTGGTGGTCCCAGGGGACCCCCCCTGGGAGGGGTGCAGGGATGCTGGCAGGCAGTGCAGCTCCAGTCCTTGTGTCTGGCAGAGCTGTCCCAGCTGCCACCAGCCCCTGGCACAGCAGGACATGGAGCTCAGCTCCAACTCATGGCCACCAGCTCTCGTGGCCACCATCCCCAGAGCTCAAATCCAACATCTCAGATCCAACGTCCCTCTGTGATGTTCAAGGACTGGTCCTTGCTTCTGTTTCCTCAGGTTTTGGATCCCTTTTCTTCCCATGTTTTGGCTGTAAAACACCCCAATCTGCTCCAATCCCCTGGGAATTCCTCACCCGTGCGGTGCCGCCCTTGGTTGGGCAGGAGCCACCAGGGTGGCACAAGTTCAGCCTCAGCCCTCCCCTTGCAAGGCAGGGGCAGCCCCGTGGGGCCAGGAGGGACCTTATGGGTGGCCAGGCTGTGGCTCCAGGGCACAGCTGCCATCCCACCAACACCAGTGACCAGCTGGTGTCTGTGCCCCTGCTGGCTTAAAGGGTCTGACTGTCCCTTAACTCCTGTTGGGGGTCCTGAGTGGTGACGCAGCCCCAGGGCTGCCCACCCCAGTTCCCACACTGCAGGTGTGGGCCTGTCCTGGTGCTCTGGGTGGGCTGGGGACCATCATGAGGAACAGCATCACCTGGGGATGGTGGCTCCTGCTGACACGTGGCAGCTGCGGCCACCAAACCCACATCTTGGCCTTATCTGCTGTTCCCAGGTGGGATCGTTGTGCTGTGGGTTTTAAGGAAGCCCCAGTGAGGGGCTTGGTGGGGTGGGAGCTGTGGGGTTTGCTTGGTGTGTGAAGGTAACGAATGGGGAAACTGAGGCACGGTTGGGCTGGAAGGTGTTGGGACAGGGTGGGGGGGATGCCATGGCCCACCCAGT